TGGATCATTTATTTATGGAGCAGAGCAGGACAGGAGGAAGGTAGATGTGACTATAAAAGGACAGCACAGGGATCCTTGTAGTGATAGAACTGTTCTGTATCATGTATCCATGTCAGTATCTTGGTTGTGATGTTGTACTGTAGTTTTGCAAGATTTTACCATTGGGGGAAACTAGGTCGAAGGTACATGGACTCTCTCTCTATTTCTTGGAACTGCATATGAATCTACAGTTACTCAAAAAAAAAGTCAACTTTTAAAAAAACAAAACAAACTGACATTTTACCGTCCTGTTTAAAATCCTTCAGTGCCTACCTAACTCTCTTAGGCTAAAGACTAAAGTCCTTAGTATGGTCTTCTGTGATCTGAATATCTTGTCTACCTCTCCGGCCTTGTTTATCCTGTACCAGTTTCCTACTAGTTGTCTGTGTTCCAGATACACTGACTGTTCTTTCATGGTTTTTAACATGCCAGGTTCTTCTCATTTACAGCCTTCCTACTGGCTTCCTTCTAGCCAAAATGCTAGTCTTTCCACCCCTTTGGTTAATTCTTTCTCATCTTTCCTGTATCAGCTCCAGCTTTACTTCTTAGGAAAAGCCTTTTCTGATTCTCCAGACTAACTCAGATTTTTCTGTTAGGAGCTTATAGAATACCCAGTATTTTTCCTTTATAGCAGTCATGGTAATTTATATTCATACATTTATTTGTGTGATTCTTTAGTTCATATGTGTCTCTTCCACTAGATTATGAGAGTAGGGATTGTGTCTTTATCCTCAGCACCGAACACAGTGAGTAATGAGTACACGTAAGACATGAAAGGCACTGTCTTTCTTTTTAGCCCTTGTTCTCTTATTGGCATCTCAGAAGCACCTTAGATATGAAGGCAGGAGAGTAAGGTCCCAATTCAGAGATCTGACTTATACTCTTTTCCCAAATCATAAGTTTGAACTTCTCTTGGATTTCCTAACAGTAAACCTCTTTGGGTCACGGGGGCATTTATTAAAGGAGGGATAGGATATGGTTGAGCAAGGCGAGTACTCTTGATCCTAATGGCTGGATCTTAGGAGAGCCCTAAGCTGAATCTACCAAAGAGCAATCTTTTTTTTTTTTTTAATTGTGCTTTAAGTGAAAGTTTACAGTTCAAGTCAGTTTCTCACACAAAAATTTACATACACATTGCTATGTGATCCTAGCTGCTCTCCCTACACTGTGACAGCATACTTCTCCTTTCCACTCTGGGTTTTCTGTGTCCATTTCAACCAGCTCCTTTTTGCCTTCTTGTCTTGCCTCTGGACAGGAGTTGCCCATTTAGACTCGTATCTACTTGAGCTAAGAAGCACTCTCTTCACAAGTATGATTTTATGTCTCGTAGTCCAGTCTAATCTTTGTCGAAGAGTTGGCTTTGGGAATGGTTTCAGTTCTGGGCTAATGGAGAGTCTGGGGGCCGTGTCTTCCGGGGTCCCTTCAGCCTCAGTCAGACCGTTAAGTCTGGTCTTTTTACTAGAATTTGAGTTCTGCACCCCACTTCTCTCCTTCTCCATCAGGGATTCTCTGTTGTGTTCCCTGTCAGGGTGGTCATTGGTGGTAGCTGGGC